ACTCGTTGACATCCTTAGTCAAGTACATGTTTGGTATAGATTTTTTTAAAATTAATTGTTCGTATTTATTTTAAATTATATATTCTTTTAATAAAATAATTTTGTATGTAAAGTCATAACTTTTTCCTTTTCTTAATTACACATTTTCTAAAAATGTCATTTAGGGTGAGTGTAATTGCGAGCATGAAATTTATATAGAAGGAAAATAAATTCTAGGTAATTGAATTGTTTAAAAGTTATTTGTATAAAAATTATTAATTAAATGTATTTTATTGATTTAGTTTTCAACTTAGAAAATATTGTACTTTTTCATTTTTTATTAGTGAATTGATTGGATAGTGAAAGAAAAGGAGAGACATTGAATTATCTAGAAGATAAAAATCACTTTCCCCTAAATGAAATGTTTTTCTTACTTTCAAGGAAATATAGTCATCTATTAAAAGTTGAAAAATATTTTTCATGGAAAAAAATTTCAATTAAACACCCCAGGAGTAAAAATTTGGATGAAAATAACATTTTTTTCATGAAAAATAAGCCAATCAAACACGCTCGTAGTGCTTATTTGGGAACACTTATAAAGTTGTTAAAAAATAAAAGCCAAACTCAACAATTAATGTTCATATATTTTATGAAACTACAACTTTTCAATAACACATTTCATTAACTTATTAAAATTTGTAAAAATTTTATCAAAAGTTTTGTCAAAAATTTCCTCAAAACCCACAATATATCCCATTTGTTGCCAATAGAGACGATAAACGGGTGAGGGGCTCGTCGATTCCATCACTCAACTCATAAAAGTTCGACCCGTGACTACTTGAGCTCGTCCAAGGAAGAGCACTGAGCCTGAGCCCAACCGACACAGCTCGCTAAGTGAGCCGAATCGACTCAACTCGTCACATGGGCGAGTGGGTGCTCACTCACGAGTGCCCACGAGCTAGGCTCGTAGCTTGCTAAGAACATGACCGTTTTTCTCACTTTTTTTTTTTTTTAAATTCAGAGACCATTAGCAATTGTCGCAGAACTTTTTTTTACCCTTTTCTGTCATTTTTTTCCCTTCTTTTTTATAACTCTATATAAATACCCTCCCAATTTAGTTATTTTTTCACATGACAACTATCTATTACTCTCTTCATACTCTTATTCTACAATTTACATTCTATGCTTTCAATCCTTATTATTTCTCTACTTATTACAATTTTCAATCAATTATTTACATAATATATAAATTACTATACATTCTTTACATTATATTTTATACACATTACAATTTATGTTCCTACAATTATGCAATTTTTATATATTCATCCATCATTTCATCTTCATTCTATTTCTTTTATTATCAATTAATCGCAAATGGATCCACAATAATGTGTTTAGGGCTTGTTCGACGTTGGTGGCGAATCACTTATAATGCTATAAAGTCAATTTCACAATGAATTTGTTGATCTCACTTATAATGCTATAAAGTCAATTTCACAATAAATTTGTTGATCTCAACGACGTACTAGTTCCTGAAAATATTCCAGATTTGGATACTCACAAAAGTAGCGATCCAATTGATTTGGATGATATTGATATTCTCAAAATGGAACAGACGGAACTAGATATTGTTGATGCAAGAGGGAAGCGAAAGGGGAAAAGCGGCAAAATTTTGGGACCATTTTAAATTGATTTCAAAGGAGTCATACGATCGATGGAGCCGCAAAGTGAAAAGCAGTATGTAGATACTGTCAAACACAATTGACATGGCAAAATGACATCGGTACTACGCACATCAATCGTCACTACAATAAATATGCTACCAAACATGGAATTGTTAGTGGATCTCAAGCGCGATTTCAATTCGGTAATCCATCCGCCGATTCTACTACTATGACACTTAAAGCATGGATGTTTTCGAAGGACAAATCTTGAACAGGAATGGTGAAATTTGCTGTTAGTGCTGAGTTGCCTCTAAAAATAGTGGATAACCAATATTTTCGTCTCTTAAGTGAAAGAATATCTTAAATCTATGTACGTTGAGGTAAGTAGAAACTCTTTTCTTTCCAATACAATAAAATATTTGGTTAATACAAAGAAACGAGTTATTACTGATTTGCAAAAATATAGTAGTGTTATATCTTTAACTTCGAATTTATAGGAAGAAATTAATAAAAAAGGTCATAGAGTTGGAATTATACACTACAAAGACACACCTTTGTTGTATGCATAAAAAAATTATTGCTTTTAAAATATTGAATTCTTTCACAACGTTAACGATATACTTAAAGTCATTATGCACTTTATTAGAAAATATCGTTGTGAGAGTAAACATCGTCTTTTACATTTGAATGCTTTGTTAATAAACTAGTTGTTGATCAGTTTGTATGATATTGCAACCTGATTTTGGTGGTTATTTATTTCATGTTTTTTGTGTATGTCACATTTTAAATTAATTATGCAATATAGTTTGAAATATATTATGAATGAAATTCAAAGAATTAAGGCACTAATATATATTACAATTTCACCTAGTAGAAAACAAGTTTTTGAGGAATTTTGTGCCGATTTTAGAGTGACGAATTCGAAAACATGTGTTAGTGATATTGTGTTAGTGATATAGGACATAGATGAAACTTGAATTACTTATTATTGAAATTATGCGAAGGATATGAACATTTAATAACTGAATCTTATAACAATAAGCACATTAGAAACAATGATGATACTATTTTGAATGAATTTGATTGTAATTTAGATTTTAAAGTTAAAGTTTTTGACAAGTTTTAATGACTCTACAAATTTTTTTATTACTATCTCACTAATTGTATGATAGTTGAACGTCTTTATATCATTACTAGGGCTTTCGATAAATATGAAAGTCAGATTTTAGGGGAATTACATTTTTCTATGGAACTAAAGTTTAGAAAAGATTGGAAATACTTGCCTATGTTACTTCCTTTGACACGCATCATTAACCCTGATTCAATTTAATCAATCGAATTTCAAAATCTTTAACTTTTGACACACCTATCACTTATGAGAGCAAACTCCATGTGAAATATATAAATTGGATGCACAACGAATTAGTGTAAATATTAGTCGGGAACCTTCTGTACATGCTCTTCCCGTTAACCTTGAAGAAGACGATGCTAAAATATTAAATTTAATTGAAGGCATTAACACTTATAGATATGATGCATTAGATTCTTCTATTATGTCTACCGCATGTAATTAGACATCAAACGTAAGTCCAAATCCATTGCTTACTGAATTGTTTGATTACTTTAATCATCATATATCTAGTATTGCAGCAATTAGAAAAAAGTTCAGAAGAAATAACTGACTTCTAGTGGAAGTACGAACAATGATGGCTAGTGGTATTCGCGTTTGCAAAAGATCTACTAGCACATCTGGTTAGCACTATAATTTCGGAATATGCTTTTAGTACATGTAAGACGGTTCTGTATGAGGTTAGGAGTCGACTGAAAAAATGTGTTTTGGAAACATATATACATGAAAAGATTGATAAAAGGTTCATTTTCGACTACAAAATAAGTATGTCGAAATTGCTATTGTCAGGTAAGTGATATTTAACTCCCGTTTATTTTTAATCACACAATCATGATACTCATAATTTTATCCACACTTCAATTATACATTTGATCAATTTTTATTAAAATATATTAAAATTCTTATACAAATCTTAGCCCTTGTTTTGTAGAGATTAAAATTAAGACTTTTAATTTAAATCAAAGTCAACAACTAATTTTAACAATACATTTTTATGATATTCAAAACTTTTTAATCACACATTTAATTCGCTTTTATCAAACTATATTAAAAATTTGATTTTAATCCCCAACAAACATGGGCTCAGTCAAACAACCCATAAGCATTCCAATCATGTTGGATTATTTTTGACATTGTGCTATGTGGTAACATACCATTGGACAATTTTTTTAAAAAAAAACACACACACACACACACACTTTCCCATCCACAACCTTTTGAACTCCCATGTGATGTAAACGACGATATCAACCAAACAATGTACATATAGCATTATTCTAAGCATTTATGGGAAGTGCTACATGTACATAATTGTTTACATAATAGTATCCATAATTACACGTGTCACTGAATCCAACCTTTAATTCAAATTTCACACTTGTACATCAACAATCGGATGAATGCTACATTATATTATGGACAACATTATGTGCAATAATTATGTATAAATAGAATTTTCAAAGCATTTATAGCTTTGAATTTGAAAAGTGTCCAAACAACAGGTGGCATCCCCTCTTTACCGCCCCTCTTTTAATTCTTCTCTTTATGTTTGCCCTAATTATCAATCAATCCTCCGCAATTTACCCGTCATCTAACGGTTGTCAATTTTTGAATCGGTCCATCACCAAACTCTCCCCCACTATTTGAATTATATTCCATCCCAATCCTTTCCATATGATTTAAAGATGAAAAAAAATTAGTATTGGACTGTATCCCTAATATTCTCTTTAAAGATTTATGGGTAAAAATTAATAATCGCCCTTAAATTTTTAACAAAATTACTTGTTGTCAAACATTCCATCCTCATTCATTAGTTTGAAGGATTAAAAAACTAAGGCTGCAAAAGTGGAAAAATCAAACCAATTTTATGTAAGTTGGAAAAGAAAAATCCATCAAAACCATAGGCCAAAAACATGATTTAAGTGTTTATACCTTAAAATTCGAACTCTATTTTCACTTTCGTATCAAACAGTTAAAGTATAAAATGAATTTTTCAAACGTGACATTTTTCGTAAAATTGAAGCCAATCAAATGGACTCTAATATCACGACTAGTAAGAAAATAACGAGATTCTTACATTATCAAATTAGTAAGTCAAATAAAACGAAATTTTAAGTTAGTAATCAACTTCGAATAAAACGAAATTCAATAGTTATCTTTAATAATTTGGTGAATTGTGAACTCTTTATTTGAGAGGGTTTGGCCACTGGATTTTGTGTCTGCCTCAAAATAAAGGAAAAAAAATGGAGAAAAAGGAAAATGGCAGACCAAATATTCGTTTATATGTTATAAAAAATTCAAAAATCAAATGGAAGTTAGAGCCACACCGTCATCCAGTGCTTTTGAATTGTCCAATGGTGACAGAGTACAAAAGTTGGGAGAGAGAAACATAAAATACTTGAAGCCTGAGCAACGAAGAAGCTACTGATTTCTCCACACGCCCTGGAATTTTGTCCATTTTCTGTATTCATATAGCGCAAGTCATCTGTCTCTCTCCGTCTCTAGTACTGTAAGCATTTCTCCGGTGTTTAAAGTTGGGTTTCTATTGTTCAATTTTGTGTAATATTTCCTGCATTATTATTTGTCAAATTGCCACCTTTTCATGAAATTTGAACGATCGGGGCTTCGGGGAAGTTACTAAGGAAACCCATTATATGAATGTCGGTCCCGGAAGAAGGTTTTTGAGGTTTGGTATTTTATTTTATTTTTTATTTTTTTTGCATCGTTGAAGGCGCTTGACAATGGTTTTTATTTTATTTTATTTTTCCCAAAAACCTGGGTTCAAGATTCCTATCCGATCGTGAGGAATTCAAGTCTACACGAGATTTTTACATGTTTCTGCTCGGAAAGTTTGTTTATTTTTTCATTTTTTTAGAAGTTTGCTTATTATTATTATCATTTTTTTTTTCACTTTTTTGAATAATTTTAAGTTAGTAAAATTTCGGGTCGAACTCGAACACATCTACTAATTGTTTAAGATTTGGTGGGAGATCGTTAATGGTGTGACTGATTAGTGAAGAGTCACTACAATTTGGTAGCCACATGTCCCCTTCATTAAGCTAGACAGATAAGTAAGTGGGACCTCTACTTAAAGTTTGATTCACTTTGCAAGAATAGAAAGGGAGGCAAAAGTTAACTTTTTGATCCAATTACCAATCATTGTACAATTCATTGAATTGGAGCAAAATAAGAAAAAAGACCCATTTTGAGAATAATGTCACAGCAAAAAATCTAAGGGCTCGCTATCTCTTCAGTCGATCAAATCATTGCCAGTGGACTTCAGTTTTGTGGGTTCACCAGGAAATGAAAGGATGATGGTTCCTGACATTACATTAGGAAATGGTCCGTCATTGACTGAGGCTGAGGAGGGCTATGCAAATGGTAATGATAACGTTTATCGGAATAATGAGTCGCCCTATAGTAGGCGGACCGAGGATAGACCTTCTGTGGTTGATGATGGAGAGGATTTGAAGGTTGCGAGTTCTTTGAAGTCATTTGGATGGTCGCCTGTTGATTCTAAGTGGAGCGACACAACACCATATGTGGCCAAGAAGGTATTAATTGGTTATTTAATCCTCTGATTCATATTATTCTATTTCTATCACAGTCTTTTGAACACTCTTCTTGCAGAGTCACGTTGTAGGCTTCTTGTTGATCTTTACATACTTTTTAATAGTGTGGATTCTATATCCATATCTCATCTAATCTGGGAATGCTCGTGTGTCAGTTGAATCAATGAATTCTGTGGTGGTGCATCACAGAAAAGTGGATCTGACAATTACAATATCTTGCTTGCTTGTTTAATTTGCTATTTTGAATGCCTGAAACTTTGGGTGCATGTTTCTGTCCATTATTTGTATTGTGGGCTAGCCTTTGGAATTAGGTCTTGTTAGCCAGATAAGAAAAAGTACTAGTTGGACTTGATTTCGAAGGAAGATAAGGTGAAAAGGACAGGATAGCAATGAATTAGACAAAGGAAAACTATAAACCATGTGTACAAGTTGAAGTAAGATAATTGCACTAACCTTTTTTTAAAGAGCTCACACATATTGGTGATAACTTATGGTGAAAGAAAGCAAAGGGGTACATTTAACTCATGATAAAGAACTTGTAATCGAACTCAACAGCATAAAAGGCTAGATCTCAAGAAAATAAGTGCACATGTGATGTCCTTCTAGTCACTAGTTTGTTGGATGAGATTGTCAATCCACGTTACATTCACACGTTAGTTGTAAAATGATATAAATTCAGAGAAATGACATTTTTCACTGAATAATTATTACCATTTTCAACTTCTCCTTGATATGGTAAACATTGATTTTATTTTCACCTAAGTGAATTTACTGTAGTTATTCGTTGCAGGTACATGAAACAAGTGTGCATGAAAGCCTAGAGATAGCATAAGTTTTTAAGAAGGCAATGATTATTCATACCATTTGCTGAGGGACACAATGGGACTTGTGAATGTTGATGTACTCAAAGGACACTAGGATTAAAATGTAATTTAGAAAACAAAGATATGGTTGATTATAATATGACAAGCCTTGGTTTCAAATGAGTTGAGAAATAGGAAAAAAATATAATAAGGTAAGGAAAAGGGAATAAATTAAAAAAGTGATTGACCATGACATATGCATCTCCAATGAGCACTATGCCATTGTTTTTCCATGGCGCTTTATGAACTTCCGGCGGCTAGTCTTGTTCCTTTTATTCAAGAATCCAATTTAGAAAACCACAAGCCTAAGAGTTATTTGAGTAAAAAAGTATTTTAGATGATATATCATATAATCGTTTTTATTCATTACATATGTGGTTTGTATCTCCTACATTCTTGGAGAATGTCATATTTGCATGTTTGTCATGTTCTGCATCTGTGCTTAAATTCCCTTCTCGAAATGAATAGCTATTCTTAAATTCTTTTGCTTTGACTTAAATCATAACTTCAAACCATCAAGTTGAAATAACAAAGTAAATTTCTATTTTACCGTACCTAAACACCACCGCAATCAAAAGAACATTTTAGCAAGGCCTGCACTGAAATATTTGAAGATCCTCGGTTTTCATTTAGAGACACTACCTCATTCGTGATTTCTACTTAATTTACACGGAAGATTAACCTGTAGCTCTATTCAAGTTATATATATTATGTAGGCTATATCTGTCAACATAATCTGTATAATAATAATAATTTATTATACTACCTAAAATTTTGCTGTTTCAGAAGCTTACATCATGGTTTCAACTTCCTGATGGTAAGTGGGAGCTGGGGACGATCCTTCCAACTTCTGGGAATGAAAAGTTGATATCATTGGCTGAGGGGAAAGTGAGTGCAATTTTCCATTTTCTTAACATAATTTTTTGTAGAGCTGTTAAATGCATTATTCTCTAACCCATTTTCACATCTAGGTCTTAACAGTGAATTCGGAAAATTTGGTGCCAGCGAATCCTGATATACTTGATGGCGTTGATGATCTTATGCAACTAAGTTATTTGAATGAGCCATCAGTATTGTACAATCTTCAGTACAGATATAATCGAGATATGATTTATGTAAGTGCATGTTTTCAGGTAGAAATTTATTCTCCAATTCACAGGCTTATCGAATAGTCTAGCACTTTGCTTCTCACTTTGTGATTTCAGACTAAAGCAGGTCCAGTTCTGGTTGCCGTTAATCCCTTTAAGAAAGTTCCTTTATATGGAAACGATTACATAGAAGCGTATAAGAATAAATCTGTTGAGAGCCCACACGTATATGCCGTCACAGATACGGCCATGCGAGAAATGATTAGAGGTGATTTAAGTATTCAATATGATTTTGTAAAAATGTCAATTGAAATTAAGACCTTCACTGGTGGTTTGTTCTACAAAACACTTTTTTAACTCTGTTTTTTTCAACTGCAGATGAAGTTAATCAATCTATTGTTATAAGGTCAGTTAAATGCTGCAGGGACTTATTCAGTCTTTTGACCAATATGACTTCTTTTTTTGTTATCTTCTGAAGAAGAACTTCAACCATATTGCATTATTTTAGTAGTCAACTGCTAGTTTCCGGAATGCAAGAAGAATGTGCATTTCTCTGAGAATTTGATTAAGAAATGTCTCTGATGACAAAAATGAATCCAGATTGTTCAGGGGCAAGTTGAAGACAATTTAAATTAATAAATTTGTTTCCTCTAACGCATGTTTTAACAATTGTTGCCCCCACCTACCCGTAACCCAATCAACGAAAAAGAAAATGAAATTGGGTTAGTTGGGTATCAGAGGATTTGTAATGCTACAAATTTGGGAGAGGACTGAGTTATGAATTGCTTATTGCAAGAACTTTCCGTGATGGTTTTCATGTTTGTTTATCTTTTCTGGTACATATGTGTAGCATTTCTGAGTTTTAGGATGGGATTCTATTCTATTTCACTTCAGATGAGCTCTTCCTAACTATTCTATATCTTGTGCATGTCACATGCCAGTGTCATGCATGCATCTACTGGTTTTTCTTAAGACCCCGACTTTGTTTCCATTAGTTTTTAAGGATTGACTTTCCGCACAATTCGCACAAACTAGTGGAGGAACGTATGTCCTACTTTAATGCCATGTTGGTTGTCGGTGTTGGAATCAAAACCCGAAGAAGCATAGGTTTTAAACAATTTTAACCCCTCTTTCAAATCTAAGACTAGAATCCATGTAGCCTGCTGCAATCAAGAATTAATGTACACGTGTGAATTAAAGCTTTACCTCAGTCGAATAGATTCACTTTTCTTTGAATCTTCCTGAATATCCTCCAAAGGGGTGCTACAAGGGTGGCTGGAAAGTTGAGATTCAAGCTTGGGCTGATCTAAGATTCAATTGGAGAAAATGCACACTGGTAGCTCAGCGGGTGCGTGAGAGCTCTAATTTGATAAAGAAATGGGGAAGATAGTCCAACAGATAGGGTTAGATTGGGCAGCCATTCTCATCTTCTTATATACACAGTCTCCTTCAAGCTTCGGTCTACACAGTCCTTATCCAGTCCAATCTCCTACATATAGCTCTAACATGGTGAAATTTTAATACTGCCTTTAACCAAATGTAGCTAGTAAGGGACACAATGGATTAAATCTAGTGTTAGTCAACTTGTGTCCAATTGGTTCCATCGTATATGGTAGTCCACAAGAGGCCCAATATAAGGGTCAGGTGTAAAATGACTTTTTCCCCTTCCCATTACATCTTTCTGCTTAGGGCCCCATACCGGAGTCAGGTTTAAATATCTTCAGGTGATGCTGGGGATATCTTGAGGGTACTTTTCTCAAAATTGCTCCTTAATTCAATATCAAATTCTTTTAGCTTTTAAAGCTTTATTTTGCTTTCAAGATACACTAGGTGGTAAAAACCAGTAACTTTATTTAGCCCATGTTCAATTTAGATAAAAATTAGTTTTTAGTAGATTTTGATAAAAGTTGATGGAATGTGTGATTGAAATTTTGTGGTTCCCATTAAATATGTAGTTAGAATTAATTGTTGAATTTGACTTAAATTTCAATTGAATTTTTTAGTTAATTCAAACAAGGTCTTAATATGTGAATTGTAAACATTATGATCATAATTGAAACTTTGAAACCATTTGAGATATATGAAATGAGAACCTATGACATTGTGATTGATCTTAATTACTTGGTATTTTTTTCATGTCATCTTGTAATCCGATGTAGAACCTATTTATCTATGGTTGTTTGCTTGTTTTCTTCTAATCCAGTGGGGAAAGTGGAGCTGGCAAAACAGAAACAGCGAAGATAGCAATGCAATATTTGGCTGCACTAGGAGGTGGTAGTGGAATCGAGTATGAGATATTAAAAACAAATCCAATTCTGGAAGCCTTTGGCAATGCCAAAACATTGAGAAATAACAATTCAAGTCGTTTTGTAAGTCTCTTGTTGCACGGTTAATTTATGCTTGATTGATGTTCATATAGAACAGTACAATTATTTTCTGGAAATAAATAGCTGAATTTATAGCCTTTGCTTGTAGTATTCAGTCATGTAAGTTAATCCAATTACAGGGAAAGCTGATTGAAATTCACTTCAGTGAAACTGGAAAACTGTCGGGTGCCGAAATCCAAACTTGTAAGTCTGTATCCAGCATAAGGGTCTTGACATTAGATTATTGTATGCAATTCTGGAATCAGAAAGACTGACCTAAATTACTTATTTTGTATGTTGTTCCTAAACGGTTCATTGGTATTCACAGTTTTACTCGAGAAGGTATTTCCCAACTGTTTGTGTTTACATTTGATTTCTCATACTGAAGACTCAATGAAACTGTTTCGATGCAGTCCAGAGTGGTTCAGCAATCAGAGGGAGAAAGGTCATATCATATATTTTATCAGCTATGTGCTGGAGCTCCACCAATTCTTAGAGGTACAGGTTGTCTTTATTTGTATTCCTAGCGTACATCACTGTCAGAATCCTGCCAATTCCGTATGCAGATGCCCTATGCTTTAATTCCACCTTGAATTGTTCTACTTTTACCTCTTACTGTTTCAGAGTCATATTCATGCAACCTTTATTACCATCTTTATCTCATTTTTGTCTTGCTGCTTATTTTTGTTGGATATCTAGATTCGTCATGTCTATGCTCTCTTATGCAGAAAAATTGAACTTGAAGAATGCAAATGAGTTCAATTATTTGAGGCAAAGCAATTGCTATACAATTTCTGGGGTTGACGATGCTGAACAATTTCATGTTGTAATGGTATTCTCCTTCCAGGATTCCTCACTTGTTTACATCTTTATTTTGAATCATATGTATCTATAAATATTTTCCTTTTCTTTTTCAGGAAGCCATGGATATTTTTCGTGTGAGTAAAGAGGACCAAGAGAGTGTATTTGCGATGCTTGCTGCAGTACTATGGCTGGGGAATGTCACCTATACTGCGGTTGATAGTGAAAACCATGTTGAACCTGTTTTGGATGAAGGTAATATTCCATACTGATCATATAAAAAGTTACTGTTCAAAGGTGTAGTGTTTAGGGATCATTGCATCAACTGGCTGGTTCCTCATACTAAGGATATCTTTTACTGTGTGAAATGCAAATGCTTGAATCGGTTCACAAATAGGTCAAATTTCACCAAACATTTTCAAACCAGCAATTCTAGTTGCATTGGAAAGAGCTTTAGCCCCAGTTGAGATTGCTGATTTTCTGTATGAACATCTTTAGCTTCTTGCAAGATTCAAATTGGAACTTTCGTTATTTTATTTGTATTTTTTAGCTAAAACACCATCAAAGCCTAGGGCGGGATTTTAGGTCTCCATCTAGACCCAATGTGGGGTGGGTTGAGCTTTAGAGTACTCCAACCGTATTTATTAATACAATACGAATGGGAGGGGACATATAGCTTACCTCCATAATTACAACTAGAGGAGAAAGGAAATATTCAATCTAATTGTAAACTTGGAATTACTACTTCAATTACAATAATATAAGCTAACTTTAGAAAAATCTTGGGAGATAAATAAAAGCCGTAGATAATATCAAACCCTCGTTATCTAGCACATTTGACATCAAATTATTTTGTAACGATTGTGTAATACCAATTTTATGTATAGATTCCCAAGATATGTTCATTTAAGTTCATGTTCTACCTTATTCTTTTACTTGAATACGAACATTTTTTTAAAATTGTTCGGATTGGTATGGTGCTCTAGGTTTTTGCTTGACTAAGACAGTGTTGGGGAAATTTTTAGTCTACAGAACCTTGGTGAGATGATCTCTCTTTGGGTCTAGCAACTGTTGATTATTACAATTGGCTTATGGAGATACTATTTGCAACTTCTGACGTTGCCTTTTGCTAGTGAGGTTTAGATGGAACTCTGTTGTGATAGATCATTTTGCTTTTACTGTTATCTTTGTGATTGGGTGACTTATTTCATTTTGGGATGTCAGAATTAATGACTTCTTTCGAAGAACATATTTTCTTTTTTCCCGAAAAATTCTATGACTAAGTATATGTGTGACAAACAAGGATTCTTGGTAGTTAGTGTGGTTGACTCTTAAATGAAACATAGTTGGAATAAACAATTTTTCACATATTACAGGCTGTATATTTTCTACCTTCATTAAGATTGTATAGCTGTATTATAGCCTTAAACAGATTATTTAAATTTTCCTTCCAAACGTTCACAAAGATGCATCAAATTCCTACATTTTTAACTCTCTCTAAAACTTCGAGCCAACTCAAAACCAATACATTCAGTTGTGGACATGGGGTATCTATTTTACTATTAAACATATTTGGCCACAGATCACCCCTTGAAAGAGCTATGTTGTGCCTTTAATTCCTATATTTAAGACTAAGCATGATTGATTCTGATATTTAAGGCTGAGGCACATCTGGTTCCCTCAATTTCATTTTCAAATTAGTAGTACCCTTGTCGTGAAACTATCAAGTTCTAGGCTTAAAATAAATTGGGACGAGAAGGTATAAACCTAATGATGATGAAATTCAGCATTTTCCATTAGGCACTCTGCTATATATCATGGAGCGGAATGAGTACTTTGTAGATTAAATTTTAAAAATCAATTTTTATTTACTTAAGTTGATCTTTTTGCAGTTTAGCGTGGCATGGTGGCAGCAAAATGAGTTGAATTTTGGTTTTAGGGTGGCCTTTGTAGGTTGAATAGAATGTTAAAAAAATTCATGATTTGCAACAATTTCTTCCTTAATGTTACTTGTCTTTTTGTACATTTCATAATATCTAATTTTTTTTTTTTTTTTTTTACATGTAAACTATCATTCTGATGTGTTGTAATCATGAAAAAGCATCTATTTATGTGACAACTACATACTCCTTTTTCTTGATGATTTACAACAATTTCTTCCTTAACGTTACTCGTCTTTTTGTACATTTCATAATATCTAATTTTTTTTTTATTTTTTATTTTTTTTTTACAAGTAAATTATCATTCTGATGTGTTGTAATCATGAAAAAGCATCTATTTATGTGACAAGTACATACTCCTTTTTCTTGTAACCTCATGATCTTTGCTTGAATTCTACTCCATGTTGGATGTACAATTTCAGGTCTAATCAATGTTGCTACATTAATTGGGTGTCAAGTTGAGGAACTAAAGCTAGCATTATCAACCCGAAACATGATTATAAGAAATGAGAATATTGTACAAAAGCTTACTCAATCTCAGGTTAGACAATTCGTAAAGAAGAATTATCTGATAGATGAGACACTCAATGGCCTTGTGAATTAGTAAACTATATCAATCATAATTCCTCATTTATTTTTTATTACTCCATGCATCTTTCAGGCCATCGATACAAGAGATGCACTGGCAAAGTCAATTTATTCTTGTTTGTTTGACTGGCTCATTGAACAAATCAACAAATCACTAGCAGTTGGTAAACGACGTACTGGAAGGTCTATCAGCATTCTTGATATCTACGGATTTGAATCATTTGAGGTATATGCCTATCTTTTATTGATTTAATGTGTGTGTTTCATTTTCTTTGTATTTGCGTTTATAACTGTGCATATTATTTTTTTCAATACTTTCCTAGAGGAATAGTTTTGAGCAGTTCTGCATCAATTATGCCAATGAAAGATTACAGCAACACTTCAACCGTCACTTGTTCAAGTTGGAGCAAGAGGTGACCATTCAATATCTCTTCGTATCTGTCTACTTTATATTTGGATTTTCTATTTCTTTGAAGCCCTAGAAAATAGTCACTAATTAAATTTAGTCATTTTTGAGGATTTTTACCTTATTTATTTGATTGATATGCTATATTGATTTCTCTCAATGAATTGTTTTTTTCTTTCTGTACTAAATGAGTGGACACAAAACTGTTGTATTCACTGAATTCCTTTACCTCTACCTACTTGAGATTTCTTGGACAAATTCAAATAAATCTGAGAAATTCATAGAAAAGTGGACCCATGGAATCAAATTCAGTAAATTAGAAGGCCATTTCTTGGTTTTTGGTCATTATTATATAGTATCGGGAAATTTAACTAAGGCTTCTGCAATTAAACGGTTATACCCCTGTTGGCTGGAACAGTTAGCTGCTGCAAGTATATCTTTGAGGAATTTAGAAATGAACAAGAAATTTAATTGTAAATATATTTGACTTGTACGTTTTATGTGAGTCAATTGAAGGGGTCCCTTAGTTATTTTTGGAGTTGAAATTTTGGAAGCATGTTTAATGTTAAATGAGACCAAATGTTTAGGACTTCGAAGATTGCTGGAGATATGGACAATGTCGTAGTGGCATGATTGGACTCTTCCTTGATTCGTTGATTTTGAAATTCTTTTCCAGGAATACATTTACAATGGCATTGACTGGGCAAAAGTAGATTTTGACGACAATCAAGATTGTCTAAATCTTTTTGAGAAGGTATGTTTTTTTTTTTTTTAAACTCAATTTTGTATTACATATTATTCTACTAAACAGTTTTTACATTTTTTTTCAAATCATCCTATAAACTTTGGATCTTCAGATTTTACTTACAGAATGATAATACATACAATTTACGTATGAAATCTATTTTGTTTTTTTTACAGAAACCATTGGGTTTGTTATCCTTGTTAGATGAGGAGTCAACCTTTCCGAATGGCACAGATTTGACCTTTGCCAATAAGCTTAAGCAACATTTGAATTCAAACACTTTTTTTAGAGGAGAAAGAGGCAAAGCATTTATGGTGTCCCATTATGCAGGCCAGGTATTCACTTTATTATTGATAAAGTCTTCATAGGTTACTTAACAGTTACCCCTGCTTCCTTAGGTCTACATTTTGTTCAATTTGCATTTTTTCCTTTTAGTGTTGGTGGAAGCATTCAATGAAAATAAAATTCAGGTTTCTAACTACCACCACTTAGATAAAAAACCCTTTGTAAACAAAGAAGACTAGCCCCCGCCCCTTCTCTACCCCATCCCCAGCAAAACAAAGAAATCGATTGAAAAAGAAACACAGAGAGAGAGAGAGATAGAGAGAGTCCTAACAAAATCTTATTTCATCAATATCATTGCAATCACTCCTGTTACCTGAGTTTCTGGATAAAGTACAGGGCATGACTCTTCTATATGTTATTAAACTTACTGAGTTGGATGTTGTCCATTGTTGAACTAATTATCAAGGGCAATACTTTGCCTGTTCGGGTCATATGTTCTTCAGTTTAATTCTCTTTGTTGCTGAGAAGCAAATTCCACAAAATTCTCTGATAAAAATAAATTCTTTAGCTAAAATTTTCTTTTTTTATTGTTGCTTTCTGGAGAATTAGTAATTTCCATGCTTATCTCAGGTTGTGTATGATACAACTGGGTTTCTAGAGAAGAATCGGGATTTACTTCACTTGGATTCCATTCAACTTCTATCTTCTTGCACATGCCACCTTCCTAAGGCTTTTGCGTCCAGCTTGCTCACCCAATCTGAGAAGCCTGTAATAGGGGCACTCTATAAGTCAGGTGGAGCAGATTCACAAAAATTAAGTGTTGCGACAAAATTCAAGGTACAATCTCTGACCTTTCCTGCTCAAATGATTGAAAAGATAGTGTCATTTTAGATGTAAGATACTTTTATTTCTATCTACAATACGCCCAATTCAAACAAATTAACAGCAGATGGGGTGACTTCCTTCATGTTAAGAATGTCACTATCAGAATTGGCTTTTTGAAATTTTTTGGTGTCAAACTAAGTTGGTCTGCAGATTAGTCAGCTAGAGGTAGTAAATCACTTGTGCTAGAAATGAAAAGGTCAATGCAATGGAATTTTCACCCCCAAGCTCCAGAGAAAGAATATTTTAATAATAAGAAAGGATCCCCAGCACAGTACTCCAAAGGATGTAATAAATCAGTTTCATTAGGTCAAAGATGACGCCTCAGATTGGCACCAATAAAATATTCTTGTGAAATAAAAGTCTTAATATTTGTTGAGACACCTACATGGTATAAATGGGATAAAATTTGTGAAGATGGCGGCAATAAACTTTCTTTTAGTTGAAATTAAGGTCTATAATGGTCTTGTTTGTATTCCTGGAGGCAGCTTTAATGGAGATATTCCTAGAACATAAAAATCTAGTCGACTAATTTCATAGTGTGATTAGAGGTTACATCAGTCATACACTTTCGGTCTATTTAGAGAATGGCGCTATAATGGCCCTTTTCATAATTAAGAATGCACAATATTACTTTCATGAGCATATATGTCATTTTGCAGCATCAGGAGCTTTTAATATGATACATACAAGGACCATATTGAAAATTATGAAACATTAGACTCAGATTTCTCTTTTTCAATTGATCTTATATTAACCTTCTCAATTTACAAAGTTAGTTTTATTTCATGAACGCACTATGCAAGAAAATTCATAAAACGTGGATAGCCAAAACCTTTTTTATGTTGACTGTTACTTTCATATCTAAACAATGTGGGATTTTACCCTTTACATGCCCCTCAAGATGTTGGCTCATCTAAAAACACCAATCTTGGAATCCAACTTTAGATGGATCAAATTCTTGTTTGAGCTTTTTGGGCTATGATACCTCCTATAAAATAGTATATCATTCATCCTTTTGGTCAAAAAAAAAATATAATATATAGTGTACAATCCTATCTGTTAAGGAAACTAAATTGCACTTAAGGAACTTAAAAAAGAAAACTATACAGTCACATAAATCAGGGAATTAATTCTTTGATCTTCAATCAATCAATTCCAGAAGCTCCTACTTATTATTATCTTTTTTTCGTGTTAGGGCCAATTATTTCAGTTAATGCAACGCCTTGAGAAAACAACCCCACATTTCATACGCTGTATAAAGCCCAATGACATCCAGTCTCCTGGAATCTACAATCAAGGATTGGTGTTGCAGCAGCTGCGGTGTTGTGGGGTCTTAGAAGTTGTTCGAATATCAAGATCCGGATTTCCTACCAAAATGTCGCATCAAAAGTTTGCTAGAAGGTAAAGAAGATAAAATTGTTATAAGCCTTTTAATAATTTTTCTTTTTAGTCTTCTATATCTGGTTGGCTACTATCTAACATTTTTCCTTTGTTAGGTATGGTTTTCTTCTACTTGACCATGTTGCGTCACAGGATCCACTCAGTGTTTCAGTAGAAATTCTTCATCAGTTCAACATCCTACCTGATATGTATCAAGTTGGCTACACCAAGTTGTTTTTTCGAACTGGACAGGTGAGAAGTTTTTCGTATTGCCTTTTCTCATTTGCTATATTCAGTCCCCCTTCTGGGTTCTGCTCTTAGGCGAAAAACTTCGTGGTTGAGGAAGCATTGCCAAGTGTTTTGACACTGTAATAGAGACATACATCTCTCTCCTCTCATAATTTCTCAAATCAGAATCCAAGTTTTATACGTCAGGAAACCAAAATTTTGATATTTTTCAATAATCAATGTGGAAAGTTGCTATACGGTAGCCACTATGTAATGATAAATAGCCAAATGTTGGGCTTAGTACTACTCCACAATGAAGTTCTGAGTATAGATTGGTTGGCCAACAAAATGATTTGATAAAATGGTGACAAATATTCTGCAGAAACAAATGTAGTTCAGACCTATTTTGTCCTCTCTGAAGTCTAATCATACAAAAATAAGTTAAGTTCTTAGATCATTTTGTGCTTGTACATAACATGTACAACTATGAGGCTGTCTGGGCGTGCTTCTTACAAAATGGAGAATTGATTTTCTTGTCGAGTCACATGGCCCACTTATCATTCAATGCAAAGTATTGTGTGTGTGTCCATTTTGCCCTCACAAGTATCCCACTTTTGCAATGTACTAATCAATTGAAGGGCAAAGATGAGAAAATGTCCCTGACCTGTGTCCGTGGAAAGTCTGAGAAGACTGAGCACTTTTAATTTTTCAAATGGTAAAAGACAGCAACGGTCCAGAAATTGATTTTAATCTGCTTTGTAGCAGTACCAAACAGGCGCCATATGTATATTAAAATATCAGGAAGATACCAATAAATAATAAAAATAACAATTAGCTTAAGTTTCTGTAGTCCAGAGTTTTTATTCATAAATTATTTGTCTACTGGTGTAACTGACTATAGCCAAGAGCCTTCTAACTTGATCAGTCTGTATCGTATTATCAATTCTTTCAGATTGGGATACTTGAGGACACAAGAAATCGTACTCTGCATGGCATCTCATGTGTACAAAGCTGCTTTAGAGGTCATCAAGTTCGCCGCTACACGAAGTACTTAAGGAGATGCATTATCACTCTTCAGTCATGTAAGAAGTATTTTAGCATGCTTTTCTTATTGTATTTTGCTACATAAACTGATCAATCTGATCCATGAAACTTTTTAATGCAGTTCTTCGGGGTGAAAAAACTAGAAAAGAGTATGCAGTCTTATTAGAGAGGCATAGAGCAGCTATATCTATTCAAAAACAAGTAAAAGGCAGGATTAGGAGGAAAAAGTTCAAAAACATTTATGAGGCATCAGTTCTAATCCAATCAGGTACTTATTAGTTTCTATTAGATGAAGATAACTATAAATCATTAGAGTTCTTTCATTATTTCTCTTGAGATCAGTGTGACTCGCTGGTCCAAACGGTGGCACTACTCGACTGCTTCATCTAATCCAGTTGGATACTAAAACCTGTTTCATTGAAACCATTATGATTCTTGAAAACCAGCAAACAACTGGTATAATATGTCGACTTGTCATTTGTCAATCAAGAACGGGGTTTACTGGACCCAGTGGTGGAAGGCCTGTGATTGGTTCCACTTTTAATCACTGGCAACCAAAGGAAGCAGAAAAACTAGTTCGAGAATTTTCCTTATGACTAATCATGATATGTATCAATTGTATCTAATTCTGTTGCCTGACGCATTCCATTTTCTTTTAATTATTGAACTTTTTGCATATGCTGTAAATCAGATTACTCCGAACTTATTCAATGTTTGACTGTTATTCAGAATATATTTATTGGAGTTATTGATTAAAGTATGAATAAATCCTAATAAGATGAGTTGTTTCATTGGTTAAGTTTGTTGAGTTTTTGCCAGTGATTTTCATGTGCGCTTGAAACTTTATGATTCCGTAAGTCAATAGGTAGTTCTGGAGAATACAAAAATGAAAATTAGGAACACATTCATTGAGCAAACACAGACTTGATTTTTAAGTGCATCCCTTGTCTCTCATGACATCCTATAAATTTCCATTCTCCACATCTCAATAGAAGTGATCTAAGCATTACATTTAATCTGAAGATTAGTGGTACTAAAGGCATTTTGTTTTCCTGAATTTTTTATTTTCCAGTTATCCGTGGCTGGATGGTCCGAAGATGCTCTGGAGACATAGGATTTCTGCATTTCGGTGGCATGAAGGTAGTCAGGACTCTGTTGGTAACCGTGAAGTTTCATATTTATACTTTGTCACTAGTTACTGACTGTGATTTGAATTTGTCTAGGACACTTGGATCTCTTTTCCTATTTACGTAGCTTTCTACCTTCTTGTTCTTGCTATTGCTCTCTAATTTTAATGCTGGGAATTTACCCTAATTTTGTCCTTTTCTCTTACAACATACAAATTTAGTATAAAAAATGAAAATACTAAATATTTTTTAGACTTGAAGACTACTGACACTGGTATGTTCCAAATCAGGGCGCTGAACAGGAAGAGGTGCTGGTGAAGTCATCGTTCCTTGCTGAAATGCAACGCCGAGTTCTTAGAGCTGAAGCTGCACTGAGAAAAAAGGAAGAGGAAAATGATGTCCTTCACCAACGACTTCAGCAGTACGAGAACCGATGGTCAGAATATGAACTGAAAATGAAATCCATGGAAGAGGTATGGCAGAAACAAATGAGATCACTCCAGTCGAGCCTTTCCATTGCAAAGAGAAGTCTGGCTGTTGATGATTCGCGGAGAAATTCTGATGCATCATCCAATGCAATCGAGGAAAGTGAGTCAAGCTGGGATAGAGGGAGCAACTTTAGGGCTCAAGAGAGCAGTGGAGTTAGACGAATGAATGCTGGTCTAAGTGTAATTAGTCGATTGGCTGATGAGTTCGAGCAGAGGAGTCAAATATTTGGCGACGATGCCAAGTTCTTGGTTGAAGCAAAATCAGGTCAGGTTGATGCAAACTTGGATCCGGACCAGGAGCTTAGAAGATTGAGACAGATGTTTGAAGCTTGGAAAAAAGATTACGGTTCGAGACTCAGAGAAACGAAGGTGATTCTCCACAAGCTCGGAAATGAAGGGTCGCCTAACAAGGTGAGAAAAAGTTGGTGGGGAAGGAGGAACAGCACGAGATTTAGCTGACTCACTGTCCGTAAATAGCTCACAATTTAGTTGACTCTTCCTATCAGAGTTGCAACACAAATTTGTTATAACAAGCAGTAGCAGTTGGTCATTTTACCGCAGTTTGAATCAAATATTTGCATATCTTTATAGAGAGCTGAAGAGCCTCTTGGTGATACGCTGAATGCTGGCTACCTAATAGTGTATTGTGATTGGTACAGTTGTTTGTCGATTCCGGTATAGTTTTCTTTAATGAAATTGGTTGTCAGTATACGTCGAAGGGATAGAGTGAAATTTATTTGTTTTTTCATTTGGTAGAAATCATCGTATGGGTTGAAGTATAAACAATTTGTAATACACTACGCAGTTGATATGATGGTTCTCAAGTCATGTTGCCTTCAATGAGATCATATTATATCACAATGAGGTATGAATTTGCCCCTATTTGTTTTCCATTTTTTCTTTATTAAAATGAAAAATATAACCATTGTCCATCATATCAACCTGTCAAATTTGAATTTCTATTTCTTGTGTAAGATTCATAACAACTATATTATTCATTCTCATTTTTACATTAAATGAGGCCATCATGAAAATTCCTATTTAATCTCAACGTTGAGGTCTGCGTAGGCTCATAGAGATTGACAAGATTTAAGCTATGTTCATACTTAATCTTACTGTGGGTATTAATTACTTAATAATTGTAATCATAATTTTGAAATTTATAATTTTTGATGAAATCTTAAAAGCATGTCCAAAATTTTCAAAATATGCATTATATATTTGTATAGGAGGCTCGTAACATTTCAAGCTTGACCTCCATGCCTTACGTCTAAAAACCTTGTTTAATGTTAACCCTATTAAAGGTATTTAATCCGGATTTTCCAAGATTTTAATTGCGATGATCAATTGTGTCTTCTACAAGGTCCAACTAATAGAATTTATCTCCAATCCTCATAAAAAGGAAGAAAAGAAAGAAAAGTGTCCACAAGAAGTACTTAAAACTCTAAACGCTTCTTGTTAAAGGAAAAATTGAATGGGTTCAAGTTGGAAACAATGTCCCTTTGGTTTTAACCTCATTTGACATTTAACAGGGAGGTAAAACGTTTTTATTTGTT